TGCAGGAGACCCTGGGTCAGAGAAAACAATCTGGTTTATCTATAGAAATTATGAGCTGTTTTGCTTTGGAAAAATAAACCCAGCCCTAAAGAAAGGGACTGAAATTTCACCGCCCTCATGTACATTATTTGATGTCCAGGCCATTTATTTGCCCCACTGGCTTACATGAGGTTTGTGAAGCAGGCAAAGAACATGGCAGAATAACAATGATTAGAGAAAGATCACTCTCAAAGGCAGCAGCAAAAGCCAATCTGCCCACAGAGACATACTGTACCATTAACTGTTAATCATTTTGTCTATGTGTACTCCTACCACCCCTAATTACCTTGTCTTCGAATTGGCTGAAGGGTGCCCATTGCCTGCCTGTATCTGCGGCTCTCATCTTCAGCCACCTCATTAATATCAGAGTAATCAACAGCATCCTCTGTGCTCTTAACCCAACCTGAGAAGGAGGAAAGACTTGTCATAAAACAAAATCATATCCCAACATGTGCTCACCACATCTTACCTCATCCCATGTTAGTCTATCCTGACTTCTCCACCCGCCTACCCCCTCCTTCCTGCTGTAACTTCTTTCCACCCCTTTCTATACTCTATTTTACTGGAGGAGCAAATGCAATCCCTGTATTAAGGTTACCTAACGTTTTCTATTCTAAAACGGTCTGGTCTTTCTTCCCTTCCCCTGCCCCCAAGAGCTCCAACACCTTCGTGGTTTGCAGCAAGACTTTGAAATTTGGGAGATGGATCATTGTGGTCAGGGAAGTGCCATTTGCCAGCCTCATGAAAATCTGTTCAAATTTGACAGAGTTATAAGCTGTTGAGACAGTCCCTTTGACCCAGAGTTATGTGCACCACCTGGGAACCAGACCATGAGTCCTAAATGATTTTTTTCTACTGATGAACGTTCGTAATTCTGTACTTTCACAATTGTATCAAGCAAAGCACCATATCCCAATTTAGGGGTTACAAAAGTTGGGAATATAACTCTACGACTGCCACGCTGCCTCTCAAAAATAACTTATCATATCTTTGTCCTTTACTATACGGTCTGTAAAATAGGTCTACACATTTATAAATAACTCACTGTTTCATTATGTTATGTACACTCCTGCTGGCAGCTCACTCCTGCTGGCAGCTAATATAATTAGTACTGCAATCAAGGAGTCTATGCTGCAGTCTGAGTGATGATTCACACCCTGCTGATAATCCATGATGGAGTGTTGCTACAGTTGCAAATAAATTTGTTTTCACATTTTTTCCAAAAAAGAGAAAATTAAATTAAGAACTCCTAAAAGAATGGTAGTGAGATTGCAAAAGTCAAGCTCATGAAAGTTAAGAAATGCCAGAACTAAGGCTGCTCTCAAAACCTTGATGTTCTGTGTATGCACGATACAGTCCTTAATTACATGATCACTTTTTCCACAAGATTCCTAACTCATTTAGCATGCAGGATGGAGGGTGCTAGGGGCACGAATCAGGGCTGTGTAGTGAATGATGCTGTGTCAGTAGGACACCATCTAACTTGCTCTTGAAGTTGAAAAGGGTATAAAGAATAAGGAAGATGACTTTAGGAAGAGAAAGGATGATCTCCAACCAAAATTGGGTCTGTTACCATTTGTGAGGTACTAACATACTACAGTGATAAGCAGTACAGAAAAGCCCATGGTGAATTTCATAATTCTATATTCAGTGCAGCATTTGGATAGTGTGCAATAAATAAGCCCCAGAGCTACGTATTGAATGACAGAAAGCAATACTGAACAACTGCCTCATTCACTGAGCTTTGTTCCATCCTGGGAAAAAGTGAAACATGTACAGAAAAGAAAAACAAATATCTGATCATGTAATTAAAAATCATCACAATGCTCATGTACAAGAGACAGACTTAAGACTGAATAGGCATCCTTAATTCTGGCATTTCAACTTTCAAACGCTTGACTTTGCAACCTTCATATCATTCTTTTAACATAAAAGTTTTTTGTATTAAACAAAAATAAATCCCACAAACAGTGAGCGTGGAACTTTACAGATAGGTATAAAGGTAGGGATCCCTGGCCCAATGAGTAGACAATCTATAGACAACATAAACATGTATAAGGGCAGTGGAAAGCAATTGGGCAGGGAGATTTACCCAAGTTTACAAAGCTAGGGCAATACATTAACCTTGAACTACAGCAAATTGTCTAATGATAAGATGAGGTTTGTACAAAGATAACTGGCAGGGTAGACTCTGGCCCTTATGTTGGAACTATTTCTATTCTTATTAAAGTTACTGAGGCTTTGAGCATCACTTGGTGAGAAAAAGACATTTCAAGCACTTTCAGGACCAGTGCTATTTCTGTCCTTTATTTATTTATTTGTATTTACAGTAGATTGCAGTACATAATGTTGTTTAGCCACGTTGGTCCCAGGATACTAGCGAGACAAGGTGGATGAGCTAATATATTTTATTGGACCAACTTCTATTGATGAGAGAGACAAGTTTTCAAGCTTACACAGAACTCTTCTTCAGGTCTGGGGAACTAACTCAGGTACATCTACACTAGAGCACGTAGGTCTAGCACTTATGGTGGAGAGGCTCTAAGCCACTGCTTCTCAGCTGATTACAACGCGGCCCACAATGTGTTACCTGGGCTGCATGGCAGGGCAGCAGCAGCCCCAACCCTCGTTCCACAGGGAGGCCAGCTGCCCGCCCGACTCAGACTGCAGAGCTTGCGGGGCCGAGTGGCTGCCCTGACCCCCGCCACACGGGGTGGGCCGGCAGCCCAGACCCCAACCCTACCGTGGCAGTCCAGATACCCCTGCGCTGAGCAGCTGGGAACCCAGGAGCCCGGGCACCCAGGCAGCTTTTAGCACACAGCTGAGATGGGCCACAGCTCTGTGCTAATTGGGCCGTATGTGGCTGTGGGCTGAGAACCACTACTCTTAGCTGACGGGAGAGAGCTCTCCCATCGGCTTAATAACGCCTGCCTCCGCAAGAGGCAGTAGCTATGGTCTAGTCTACACTGGCAATGTTAAAGCACTGCTGCAGCCGCGTTTTAACGTGGCTTGTGTAGTTGCGGCATAGCGCTTGGAGAGAGCTCTGGAAAAAAAAAAAAACTCCACGAGGGGCATAGGTACCAGCGCTGGTACACTGTCTGTACTGGCATGTTACAGCGCTGAAACTTGCAGTGCTCAGGGGGTGTTTTTTCACACCTCTGAGCGAGAAAGTTGCAGTGCTGTAAAGTGCCAGTGTAGACCATATGCTCTCCCGCTGACATAGCACTGTGTACACTGGTGCTTAGGTCGGTATAACTTACATCGCTCAGAGGTGTGGATTAGTCACACCTCTGAGCAACGTAAGTCATACCAAAGTAACCTGTAGTGTAGACAAGGTCTCAGTGTCATTGCTAAACACAAGGTTTGAACAGACTGTTTAGCATAAGTAGTTAACACATATTTCAAGGTACCATTCAAGGTGAAGTGGCCCATTAATACCCTTCCAGTCCTGGGAAAGAAAGGATGGATAGCAGCTGGAGAAATTGTTAGTGGGTTACAGATTGTTGCAATAAGCCATAAATCCAGTATCTGTATTCAGTCCATGATTTTTAGTGTCTAGCAGAGTAATGAATTTAAGTGCCCTGATTCATCTTTTAAAATTGTTGTGCAGGTTCCCTTTGAGGATGAGGACTGACATGTCAGCTCTAGAGTAATTAATTTGTGAAAATCGGTAACCCACTCCCATTGGCACAGTAGCATCTTCACTAAAATGCTACAGCAGCTGTATCACTGTATGTGAAGACAAGCCCTGAGGTAGTTTCCCAGACCAGAAGAGTTCTGTGTAAACTCAAAAGCTTTTCTCTTGCACCAACAGAAGCTGGTGCAATAAAAAAAAGTTACCTCACCCACCTTGTCTCTCCAGTACATTACAGTGGCATCTAGAAACTTCAATCAAGGATCACAGCCCCATTGTGTTATACGCCGTGAAAAACAAATAATGAAGGCAATAGATCAATGAACCAATAGGTTTTACAATTTAAGTAAGTCCAAGATGCAACGGGGAAATGGAGAAACACAACTAAGCAGGAAAACAAGGTTACAATAAACTGGAACTTTAAGTAGCATATATTAGTTAAAAAACATAGAGGCCTCCATACTAGCTTGGTTATTTTAAAGACTGAACAAGAGACAATAATGAATCACTAAACAGGCACCTAACTACTCATTTAATCCCGTATTTAACCACTTTATGCACACAACTGATGCAAATGCACAAATGTGCACCACAGTTATCTCCTAAAGTACAATTATTAGGCTTAAGTATTAATACATTAGTAATGCAAATAGGACAGTTTATGCCTCATAGTTATTGCCTCCGCCTTCCTGCTGACTGGCAGATATCAAAACGTGACCAGTGTAAACGATAAAACTACGATTTTCATTTCAGTAAGAAGAGCTAGAAATGCACCTTTACTCTTTAAAGAAACCCTTTTCGATTTGACCAAATCTGACTGTGCTGCAGTAGCTACAGCCTAACCAACCCAGACTCACCCTCCTCGTCCAGCTGGGCTCCGTCAGTCTCCGCAGCATCCTCCTCGCTGGCTGTGATCTCGGTGATCAGGTTGCCCAGCCCCAAGGCGCCTAAACCGGCTAAATGCTTCTTGGATTCCTGGAACAGCGGAAGACAGGACCGGCCGTCAGCGGACCGGCGCCGCGAGGGACGACACCCGGGGGGCACCAGGGCTACGTTCCCGCCGCAGCGCGAGGGGCCCGGCCTCGGCCAGCCAGAGCCCCGCGCCCCCCAGCTCTCCTCGCCTCACCTTGTCCAAGACGCTCTCCCCCTCCAGCTGCCCCGCCTCGTTAATGTTCCCGAAGAGGAAGCCGGCCAGGGAGAAGGGCCCGGCGCGGCCCCCCTCCGCCTCCTCCTCGCTCTCCGAGTCCGACATCGCGCCCGTCCCGGAACGCGACCCGGAAACAAAACCGGAAAGCGAGCGCCGCCGGGTCACGCCTCAGGAGAGCACCATAGAGAACGCGGGCGAGAGCGTCTCCTCGGAGTGGAAGGGCGGGGCCAGGGCCGGCGCTGCTGGGCGATAGAGTCTGCCCAGCCCACCGCCGGGTCCCGGGAGAGACCACGGCAGGGATGGACGCTCTGAGAGCGATTCACCGGCGGTCGATTTAGCGGGTCTAATACAGCCCCGCCAAATCGAGTGCAGATCGCTCTCCAGTAGCCCCCGCTACTCTACCCCGACCAGAAGAGTAAAGTAAGTCGAGGGAGATTTTCTCCCACCGACCCCGCGGTAACTCTAAGGTACGTCGACTCCAGCTACATTCACGCGTCTACACAAGCAGCCTCGTTCCGTCGACCTAAAGGGCTAAATGTAGTCAACATTTTGTTTTATCCTCGTTGTTCAAGATGTAGCGTGCATGCACACCCCCACGCCGTATTTCCTGCTCTGAAGTAGTTAGTTTTCTTCTGAGCTTTTCTATGGCATTTATACTACTAGTAGCTGGTTCTTTCACCAACTCTCCAAAGTATTTTACAAAGGTGACCAGCATCTGCATGCTTCATAATCAGAAACTGACTACACTACCGCTTTTGTCAGTCAAGGGTGTGGGGGGGGAAAAAACAAAACATCCCTGACCAACATAAGTTTCTGGTATGGACAGTGCGGTTGGCAGGAGACACTCTCCTGTCCATATAGCTAACCTCGCTCATTGGGAGTGGTTTAATTATGTCAGAAGGACAGCTCTTTCCTCTTGGCAAAGAGCAGCTACACAGGGGACATTTATAGCAGCACAGCTGTAGCAGGACATCTGTGCTGCTATAAAGTCCAGTGTAGACAGAGCCTAGTTAACTTATTTTCATCTGTGGAGTGGAAGGATGGTATTATCCCCATTTTACAGATGGGAAACTAAAGCATAGCGGATATAATGTTTCTGATAATTTTAGGTTTCTAATACGGGATACCTAGCACCTGATTTTGCACAGTACTTTAGCAAAGCTCCCAGTGACTTCAGTTATAGCTGTAAGTTCAGCATTTCTGCAAATCAGAGCTCAAGGTATCCCATCATAGCATTCAGGAAGTAATTAGTGACCCCCTGTGAAAAGTTTGGTTTAAACGATTTGCCTAACATTAGGAACTCTATATTATAGCAGAGGCAGGAATATAAATCAGTTTTCCAAGGTGGTATTCAACAGCCTTAACCAGAAGGCCGTCCATTCTCTTCCTGTGATCTCCTATCCCAGTACTACAAATAATATATACCTTCCATCTTTTGTAACAGATGAAGCAGCATCCTACAGGCAACATCTTCCTTTGATACATAATCCCAATTCATCCCCACAGTAGGTCGAGCTCGTGCATTGAATGAATCAGGGGTCAAGTGGAAAAAAAAATGTGATCACGTAATTCAAGACTATCAATGCAGATGCACAAGGTGGCCAAATTAAAGTTTTCACCATCCCCATTTCCCTCACCAGCTTCCAGTCTTTGCACATACATTTGGGCTCCCTATTTGTCTCTTTGCCCAATCAGTCCCAACCTCCCCTTTCCTCTCCTGCCATGGCCCAGTCACTCCAAGTTTCCTCACACTCCCCCAACTCCTTATCTCAACCTACTCTTTTCCCTCCCCTCTGGTCTCGCTTTTGTCTCCTCTGCCTCTCCTTCCTCTTCTAGTTTGGCTCCGTGATAGAGGTGCAGGTGTTTCCTGTATTCTCACTGCTCTCAATTCTAATATCCAGCCCTTTCAAAAGCACTTGTCAGACTTTCCCTGTAAAGGCTGCTCCTCTTCAAGACTGCAGGCATGGGCTGACATGTGCAATCTGATCACACATAGCAGCTGTGAAGGGATTACAGCATGCCCAGCAAGGACAGAACCTTCAGAGATTTTAGCTGCAAAAAATCAATTCTGTACTGAGGATTTGCGAACTGCAGTTTTTCAAAGGCTTATAACTTGGCCAAACATAAGTAGATTTTCACAGGAATGGCAAAAGGCACATCCCTGACACAAAGTTCACCCCTTGCCAAATTTCAAATCTCTGGTCCAAAGCATAGGGACCCTGGTCATCAGAATATTTTAACATAAGCAAAACAACCTTCCCCGCCACCCTGCCCCCGTCTCATTCTCAAAACAGCTGAACAGTTTTGGCTGAAATTTTCCAAAAAAATTCAACCTGGGGCAGACACCTGGCATGCAAAATTTCACACAAAATGGTTATAGTCTTGCCAAACTATAACTAACTGAAAAAGTCTTAATGCGAAGTGTCAGCCCATATAGGGAGTGCTACCAGCCCCACTTATAATAGTTATTAACATGTGGAAAGAGGGTTTTAATGAGAATTATCTTGCATCTTTATAGTAAAGAGACATCAGATTCACACAGTTTACAATCACTAAAACTGGACTGAACAATTAAACTTCTTAATTTGTTCAAAATTTGCTTTGCTGTATTTCAAGTCTCCAGATTTCCACAGAAGAGATTAAGAACAATTGTAATATGAAAATGGAATGAGTGAATAAAACAGCAAGAGATCAAGAAAGCTTTATTACAATTTAATTCTGCATAATTTAAAAATCATTTTAAATCGTTAGTTGCAATACAAATTCCTTTTAAGTATAAAATCAAGTTGCCAGTGTATGTTTCAGTACCACACTTCAATCAGATCATCTTAGGGTCCTCTAATGCAAAGGAGTCCTCCTCACCCTCCCACTTTAACTGGCTCAGAGAACTCCTTTGCTTAGAGAGAGGTCCATTTGCTCGTTCAGACTTACCCAAGTAGCACCAAGAATTCTACAGGTCACAAATTTGGCACTCAAAAGCAGAGCATTGAGGCCTTTCTGGTTTAAATTCCATATAAATAGCTACTGTTGTGTACTGAACAGAGCATTTGAGTGCTAAACGTATACATCTAAAAAGACTGCCTCAGAGCATCTTTTGGACAGAGCACTCCTGAACTGTTCAAATCAATTGGGGGTGGGGTAGGGGGGAAATAAGTGAACTCTCTCAAAGACAAAAAATGTAAATGATTAGTCTGCTAGAAGGATATAAAAACTGAATAGCATAGGAGAGACTGAATTGTCACGTCAGCTGCATTCCCAGCCACTCAAATATAAAACTTTTATAAGGCTGGTTTCAACTGCTCATCTCAATGCTGGAATGTTCTGATCTTATTTGGAAATAGACAAATCCAACCATATGATCAGGGAGCTAAGTCAAGTCTCCACTTATGTGACAATGGACAAAATTGAGGCAAAAAAAAGAACCAGAACTCTGCACTAGAGTTACAATAAAACAGGTTAAGAATTATAGAAATTTGCAACATCCCAAACTTAGAGAGTGACCATTTACAGATTTTGTTAACACATTATCAATTATTGTAATAATGAAAAAAAGTTCAAGATATCTGCACACTCCTGAAATTCATTCCTGCAGAGATCAGGCCCTGGAGTAAGGATACCTACTCCTCTTGGCAGAAAATACACATAGAAGTATCAGATGTTGAAATCAGTCTGTTAATGAGGTACTATGAAGACAGTCAAGAGCTCTCCAAGTTGTTCTAGTCCATGGCACTTTGTGAAGAACAAAAAAGAAAGTGGTATATAGAAGGAAGCATCTCCAGGCTTCTACAAACATCATGGCATATGGTTATTTGGTCATTCCCAGTACACTACATTGTTTCATTAGCTAGTCATACTGATGGCTTGGTTTAACTGTGGCTTGTAATTTAGCCTTTTAGAGTGGTATTTGCTAAAGTAATATATGCCATCAGTTATAATGGAATTGTAGTTAATGTAAGTTATCAGTACATCAGGCAGAGAGAAAGGCACATCCTCTTCTTTGAGGGGAATTAGGGCACAGATAAGAACGTAGCCACCTCATACTTCAATACCACCTAAAGCAAGGCTAATTTAATATTTCTCTGAATCCTAAAAGCCCTACAGTTGCCAACCTGCTGGCATCTTGCTGCAATGAGAAAAGAGAGCTCATTCCATATAGTGCAGGCATAACACACGTTTTTGTATGGGTGAGATACCTGTATGAAACTGAGATCTGAACCACTAATGTAGGCTGCTCCCAAATACAGTCAGTGGCACCCAAGCAAGGAATGGGCTTATTAATTTCAGTACACAAAACCCAGTCCCAGCATTCTTACATTAATACAAAATCTCTTATACAGCACATCAATTTCAGATCTGCAAGTTGCAGGGGCTAGTCTTTAATGGAGGTTTCATACTGCTGCTTTTTTGTTCATTCTAGTTGTTGTGGGTATACATAGACTTCTGAAGATAAAAGCCAGTGACTATTCACAAAGGGGTAGGGACAGTTATTGAAGTGTTTAAATAGAGCTTCAGCTAAAGTACTTTTATAATAACGTGTGACCAGCTAGCGTGGAGAGGAGAATTATTTTCAAAATGCTCTAGCCCAGGTAACCGTATCCACTATAGCTAGCCAACCATTAAAAACAGTTTAACTGGAACCATAGTTAAACATGGTTCGTGGCTTCATGTAATAGGACCTACAAAATTCAAAGACATAATCTGCCATGAACTCTCATGCAATGATGCAGGGGCTAATTATGGTAGGGAGAGAGAGAGAACTAATTCCTCAAGGGCAACAGCCTCCTTCCAACTCTCTGGAATTCTCCTAAAAGGTAGGGGGATGTACATGTGTGCATGTCATACTAGGAAATCCGCTTTGAGAATGTCATCCCAATTACCTCAAACAGTTTGAAGAGAGAACAGTACCTCCACTCTCAGAATTTAAAATACTTTTTTAGAGGGGAAAGAGAATCCCTAATGCAGTTAAGACCACTATGGAAGACTTGCATTTTGTTACCATCTCACCTCTCTGTTCCTAAATAACCACAGAATCATTTATTTGAGTTACTGTCATCCAGAATTCCACATATCAGGAGGTGCCAACTTCTGGTCTTAATATTAATTAAACCATTTCAGGAGTTCCTTATGTCTGAACCACTGGACTAAACATGATTGGTTTTCATTAACTTTTCATACTTTATAGTAAAGAATGTGATTACTTGTAAGTCTCTCATCAATACTGAAAGCATTTTCAAATTTCGACAAATGGTTTTCAAATTTCATGTCAAATTAAAGCAATAATTAGAAAGCCAGACTCTTGTCTGGTAAACCAAGTTGATGAGTCAGTAAGGGCCAGAAGCAGCAGGAACTACATTTAAAGCAAAATTATCAATATCTGTCTCTTTCAGCAAGGCCAATAACTGAAGTTTGTCTAGTAAAGGTGAAGTTTGGCTTTGAAGAAGTCTCCTCCTCCTCCATTGAAAAGAAT